TCTAATGCTGATCTGCCCCCAAATCTTTTGATTGCAGCTATTCGATTCAACAAAGGACGCAATAGAGCGTAGCTTGGCTAGCAGCGAGTGTGCCAATACTTGACCTGCGGATCTATATTACAAGAGTTCCAAGACTTCATTCTTGACATTGCTTTTGATTTTTGCAATGACTTTTATCTTCCTTACGGTGGTACCGGTTTTCCGTGATACTTAGTCCAAGAGGTTCACCAGCTATTGCCATTTAGTTTTCTTTTTCTGGACATTATTAGATGGCTAGTTGATATGTTTATATAATCATTAACCAATACAATGTCTCCAAAATTGTCATGTAAAAATCTAATGAGTACAAGTGGAAGCATAGAGTTTTTTTCTCCCTTCTTTTAATGGTTTGACTAATTGATAAAATTGTAATTGCGTTGGCAGCCTGCATTCTAAGCGTGGGATTGCTAGCTCCTTCCGTTAAGGACAAAACACTTTGAATCTCATAAGTGCTTTCTTTTATTCATAGTTTTGATATGTAGAGGAGGACATTTTTTCAGTATGCTTAACTTTTCAAACGGGTCTATTCCATGTAAATTTGAAATTGTAAGGCTACAAGAAAAAAAAAACTATATAGGAGTCGGTTGCTATCAATTAAATCTAAACTTTATTTTCTTATTCTCATTAATGAGAATTCTCAATGACAACACAAGCCACTAGAGAGTGAATTATGAGTTATGACAGACTATTCATATTATTATATTTGAGGAACTCTGGAAGGTGGATTACATTGTCACCTTTGATGGCATCAAACGACTTTGAAATGTTTAGCTTGCTTCAAAAAAGACAGTGTGCCTTTAACATTCTAATCCTGGAAAAAGAAAGACAAACTTGATATCATTAATGATTCTCTAAAAATTTTAATGTAGTTGATCAATATCATATAATGGTTCTTTAAAAATCTTACAAGGATTTCTACAAATCTTAATTAGCAAGTATTTGATGCTGATTCTTAAACCTATGTTTTTTGAAATATTTGACATCCGAAACTTTGAATCTTCTTGATCAATCTTAAATTTCATTAATCATTCCAAAAATCCAAAATTACACACAAAATAGATTAGGATGCACCAAATCTCCAACTTGAGGACTCACAAATTTTGATTTTTTCACAATCATTTTTTTTTATTTCACTGTATTAACTCTTTTTATCTACTTTGTACAAATATTTCTAATTTCAATCTAAGTTTTACTTTTTTTTCTCTACTTGCATTATGATATTAATTAGCAAGTTTGTTCTTGGTCATAAATAGTGTTATATTCCATGGTATAATCTATAGTTGATATTGATTTCTCCAAATGTTTCGGCGATTATCTTGAATATATCAAATATACCTACTATTTCAAGGATTCTTATTGGGTAAATGATGCTTTGATGCTAATACTGATATGGGATATCAACCTCAACGAGGAAAGTTCTTGGGTGAAATGGATACATAAGTGCTACATTAAGGATGGGTCTTTTTGGAATCTTGAAGTTAAGATGAATACCTCATGGCCAATGGAAAAACTATTAAAATGTTTCTTAAAAAATAGTCTTGAATGGACGTGAGTGGACTGTTGTATGGATTCCTTTCTCAACAAACAATGCTTACAATACCATAATAGAGCAGTCTCATAGACATAAAAAATACATCATGTCTTGGGAAAAATTCATTATCCTAAAGCACAAATTCATCAATTGGTTGGCTTGTTTTGACAGATTAAAAATGATACTAGGATTGCAAAATATGAAGTGACAGTTGACAATAAATGTCCCATATGCTTGATAGTTGAGGAAACAATGGAGCACTTGTTTTTTAGATGTATTTTCTTTTGTTTAGATTATCACCCAAGCAATGACTCTTGTTGATGCATTGCCTCCTTCATTTTGTTGGGCTTTTTTTAGGAAGGAAATATTGCAGAAATATGGATTGAGCAGTGCAAAAGGTGGTATCACTAGAGAAGTGGTAGCATCCGCAGTACATATCATATTTGGGACATAAGGAATCATGTTATCTTTAAACAAGGAAAATAAATGTAGTCGAAGTGATACAAAGTATATCATTCTCTTTGAAAATGAGGTTGTCTTCTATCTCAAAAATAAAGAATGCAAGCAAGAATAGAGTGTGGTGTGAAAAGATGAAAATTGACCCGTAATTTATTTGAGTTGTTAGCTTTATCTTTTGTGGCGATCTTTTATAATTTTTGTTGATGAATATTATAGTAATACATGTAAATTCATGTGTACGATTATTTTGTTAACAGTTTAAGGTTGTACTAAGCTCCATTTAAGTAGAATAAAAAAGCATATTTCATCCATAAATAAATAAATAAATGCAAACGGGAAGAGGGACATATTGAGGTATTAGAGGAATAATAGTATATATATAAGTGTTAGAGCAAATTAACATATTACCTCAGTTAAAACTTCTGTCTAGAATATCACTTGAAAACCCTAGCCGTCACTGTCCATGGCCGAAGATTGACCCGGATACAAATGAAAAGATGTCCTTCCGCACAGATTCTTGGAGGACATAAGCCAAATCCACAAGTGCTTGCTCACAAAAAATTACAAGATCTGAAATCTACAAATATTTTTTCTCAACCAACAATTTACAAATGGGAACCAATCTCTTCCTCACAAAGGAGGAAGATGACCAGCTCGTAGCTCCTTTCCGATTGGCATTAATAGGAAAATTCTAGAAGGGACGTCTGACAATGGAGTTCTTAAGGAACAAGTTTCTGACTATTGGTTCTGAAGGGAACTTTTCTCTCGAAATGATTGATCACTGGCACATCTTAATTTGTTTTGATCTTGATGAAGATTTTCAGAGGTGTTGTCATTTGACAAAAAAGTGATACGATTTTTCAAGTGGACACCGAGTTTCAATCCAGTGCATGAATCGCCGATCGTACCTGTTAGGGTGTCTTTCGAAGGGCTTCCGATTCAACGTTTTAACGAAGAATATCTCAGAAAACTAGCAAGCGTGATTGGAAGGCCACTAAAAATTGATGAATCTACTCTAAATATGTCCAAACTATCATTCACTAGAGTTTGCGTTGAAGTAGATCTCCTCAAGGAACTACCACATAGTGTGAGACTGGGGGTTGAAGATAACACTTATTTTTAGCGGATTTATTATGAGAACATACCTGAATACTGCATAGAGTGTTTCAAGATTGGACAATTGAAGCAAAAATGCAGACACAAAAAAGAGAATGTTTCAGATCATCCAAAAAAATTGCCCGAAAAAGAATATGGTATTGGTATCTGTCAAAGCTCAACAAAAGGATCCATCCCAAGTGAAGAATTTTTGGAAACCTAAGCCAATATTACTAGGAATAATAAGGAATTGGGCAAACAACAAATATAGCTTCATCATGTGGTTTGTCATCTAAAGAAAAAACAGTAATTCCGATTGATCTAGAAGATAAAAGCCCGACTGCCACTTCATCAGAAAAAAAAAGAAAATGAGCAAACCGCAGATTGATTTCATTATAGAAGGAAATAGAATGGAAACTTCAGAGATCGAGCCCTTGGGATACAACTCTTGTACTTAATAGACTGGAACAACATGAAGAGCAAGCAGTAAATACAGAATTATCAAACCAACTCGCATTGGAAGATAAATACTCTTGCAAATTGATGGAGGGTGTGGATTAAACGTAGATTAGGGTTTATTAAGGTTATTTTAGTGATTTCATGTTAATAGGATTAGGATTGTTTTACGTTAGCTCTTTATTTATTGGCTTCGGCCGCCACATTGTAGAAACAATTGTTGAATATTTGATAAAAATTGAGAGTGTTCTCTCTTCCAAATTCTTGTGTAGAATTCAAACTTACCTTCCGGTATTCAATTATTGAATCAACGGATTGTAGATGCCTTGAGATTCCGGTATTCTTAGACTAAAGGGATCTTGGGAAGGATTTATTTTTAGATATTCTTAGATTAAACAGATCTACGACGGTTACGGTTCATGTTCGGGTTACTATTTGATTGAATAAGAGGCTTCGCTACATCACATATGCACTTTCAAAACAAGCCTCAAGCGGTATCACTATCGAATATGATAAGTGTAGTGACCTCCCGGCCACTATGTGAGGTTTGATGCGCTTAGATTAGAAAAACTTTCCATATCTTCGCATTACATAGGTTTTTACTTAGAGTAATTCATAGGAATATTTTTATATTAGTCAATGCGGAGCTGTTATGTGATTCTTGTGAGGTATTTGTAAAACAGCTCTTAATTCTTACTTAATAGATTTAAAATGAAAATAATTGTCTAGGGATTATTAGAGAAATCTTTGTAAGGTAGTTCATAGTTCCTAGTATTTCCAGAACCATCATGAGATTTATTATAAATCTTTGTAAGACGGTTCTTCTATTAGGGTAAGTTTTAAACACTGCATTTGTACTCTTATTTTAAAATTAATAAAATCAGGATTCTCTCAGCAGGTACCGCCCTGAATTTTCCTTAAAAGAAAAGTGTTAGAGTAAATTAAACAAGAGTATTTTGAGCAGCCAGAAAATATTAATGAGACCATGATGTGGATTATGTGGGCTTGGATGAAGTTGTGATTATGCTTTCTTGATTATGGTATCACTTTAGACCTAAAAAATTACTCTTTCCTGTTCTTATTATAAAGTAATTTGATTTTTATAGGTTTCATTTAGGATGTATTTTAAATTAAAAAAATATTAAAAATATATTTTTACATTCATTGTGTTCTCCTAATTACGAGGAAATGTTTTTAAAATATTTTTCCAATTAAAAGTATCCTAGGTGAAATTTAGGACAAATCAAAATACTTATAATATTGTAAAAAAAAAAATAATCTTATAATATGGACTGGAGGGAGTATTTGGTAATATTGCATTTTGAACATCAAGAAAATGAAAAATGTTAGAAGTAATTAAAGATTTCTGTAATGAACTAGTGTTTACTATTAAATATGATATTCTTTTCCCTCGTTTCTTCGGGATAATAAACTTGCCTTTAAAGGGGGAAAAAAGCCCTTAGAGGGGAAAAAAAACTGTCTTCGGGAGTCATTTATAATTTAGGACCATATTGATCCAAAATAATACTGAATAGGAGGACTAAGCTGTAGTAACTATTTTGGAAATCAAAATTCCAAACCCAAAACGTTTTTTCGGGCTTGTTTTTTTTTTTTTTTTATTGTTTATTTTTGGAAGTCTCACATGCTCTCCAGCTAGTCTGAAACATTTCTATCATTGTCTTCTCCGTTTCATTACTTTGTGGGGCCGTTCTCTGCCGCTGTCACCGCCGCAATCCGCCGTCGAACCATACTGATCCGGCTGCAATCGCTGCCGACCACCATTCACATCCACTGACGTTTGTAAAACGCAAAGGCTTAGGTATATCTACTCTTCTCCATTTCCATTCTCGAATTCAATTCTAATCTGGTCTTATGTCACCTAGTTTTGTTCCTTAGCCGAGCTCTTTTGTGGAGTTTTATCCTGTATGAGCTGTGGATTCTGCATTTTTTTTACTCTATTGTATTTGTATCTAGTCAATGACGATGATGAACTCTCTGCCGGGTTTGTGTATTTGTTTATATCCCATTTATCGGTTTTCTCGGATTGGATTTATTATCGTTTTGGTAATGGTAAATTTTTTGGGAAGTTGAGGAAGCTGAATTGTGTAGTAAAGAGCTGGCAAATTTCAGAGAAAGCATAAGTATTGCATAATTTTGATTCTGAAAGTTTATAGATTTTCTTTTTCCCTTTTTGCAGTTTGGCCTTTTGTGCTTGGAGATCCACTTGGTGGAAATGCTGTCCTCTCCTGTACACCCAACGAGAAAATAGAATTCATTAAGATTTGTTTCTGGAACTCTACTTTATAGAACTGTCTTCCCCATTCGACATTAGTCATTCTTAGAAAGGAGGAACTGGAGGGATGCAAGTTTTTGGAATTGAGATAGGCTTTTGTCAATGTCAGCTATATTGCGACGTTTCAGATGGGTCATAGCTGGTTTACACAGAGCCACACCTAAGAAACTGCATAGTACTGATGTAAGACCCTTCCCGCTTCTGTCTGACTTGCAAAAAGAGTTGCACTTGCGTGACACCAGCTCCGTGAAGCAAAAGCTTAAACAGCCTAAACGACCAATGCTGGAGGCTGTCCATGAGATTGCCATTTATATCCATCGGTTTCACAACCTTGATTTATTCCAGCAAGGGTATGCACTTCATATTGATAGCAGCTCCTTTACTCTTCTATTGCGCACCATCTGCCTAGGAAATATCAATTGTGATCTCAAATTGCTTATGCTTTGGCATGCACACAGGTGGTATCAGATCAAAATTACAATGAGATGGGAGGATGATGAGTACAGTTTGTTGGGAACTCCATCAAGAGTTGTTCAATATGAAGGTTGTTTTTCCCCCCTTTAAGTACATGATTTGCATCAAGAGCTTCGCCAAAATATTTTTCTTTCATATTGTCATTGATGAAGATTTTAAACCATATCTTTTTTCTTGATTGTGTGATCTCTCTGTGAGAAATTTTGGTTGAGATTGCTGCTAAACTGAGACATTTTGACCACTGTTGTGGTAGTTATAAGTCTGGATAATAGAGAAGATAAAAATTCATGTGGTAAACTAATTTAGTAATTCAATTTTAGACTGTTTTTGGTTTGCCTCAGACCCTGAAGAGAGTGTCAAAGATGTTTGCAATGTGTGAAAATTGAATTATAAGTTCCCGTTACTTCACAAGTTGCAACCATCTTATCTTAATGTATGCAACAGGAAAATGTGTTTATTTTTGTTGGGTTATCATTCTGCTGTTCTTTTATTTCCACTACTGGCATATCATGAAGGACAATTGTCTTAAGCTCTAGATTTTCTTCTTCAATGTAATTTAGCTCATAAACATGCTTGACCCATGTAATGCTCGCCTTACAATGATACCGTGAATGGACTCACAGTTATTTGTAAACGGAGTACTGGCCCTAGATCATCTTTTAATCTATGTTATCAGTTGATATGTGGTTAAATAATGATCTAGTCACAGTTGGTGTGTTTGTTGAACTGCAGCTCCTGATTTAGGTTGTGATGATGTTAATGGAATATGGAAGATTAATGACGAAGACCATAGCTTTTCATCTCAACCTTTTCGAATCAGATATGCAAGGCAGGATGTTTTTTTGTCTATGATGGTTGCTTTCAACTTTTCCTTAAGTAAATATGAGGTGAGGGACTCTGTCTGTCTGTTCTCTCTCTCTCTCTCTCTCGTGCAGTTGATTCTGTCATTTTCTTTTTGAAAGTTATGCCAATTTGCACCACAAGCTACTCAAGTATGTATATCTACGTAGAAAGTGATTATTTGCTGTATTGGATAAATAACCCAGCTGGTGGCTTATAACTCAAAGATAATTGAAGTTTTATTTCTATGGCCTTTGTTTGATTTGAAATAGAGGACGCAATTAAGAATTAAGATTTGTTTCAAGTTGCAACTGTAAGAGTTCATTCCCTGATACTTCCAGATTATATGTGATATTTAGAGACTAGAGTCATTGTCATTTCTTATCCTTATATATGATCCTATCTACTTTCCTTTTATACCATGATATTTAACTGTGTTTTGAAACTTGTTAGGGCTTATCCACATCAGCGGTTATATTGAAATTTGAGCTTATGTATGCTCCTGTACTGGAGAACAGGTTAGGTGCCCATAAGTTTTTGAATTTTTTTCCTGTACAATTATATTTTGTTGCATTTAACTGAATGACTGAGTAAAACAATATTTGTAGTTCTAATTTGCAGGCTTCGTTGGATTCAAGCCCGGCTGCAATTCATGAGTTTCGTCTCCCTCCCAAATCTCTACTGGGACTGCATTCATATTGCCCTGTTCATTTTGATGCATTTCATTCTGTTCTGCTTGATACAAGTGTTCACACTAGCCTTTTAAAAGGGGGTCTTTTACCTGCCTCACCGCAGGTACAAAGGTTTGTCTCTTATTCCATGTGCTTTTACTGATGATCTTAGAGAGTTTGAATTAAGGTTATAGAGTTGACGTGATTTGCCTCTGATTGTTACATGTGAACCAGTAGTTTATGTGACATGTATCGGTTGTGTCCTTTCAGTGCTTCACTTGTTCATGAAGATGCTGGTGAAAATCATGATCTTTCAAAACAAGTACGTATTATTGTCAGTGATCTAATGTTATTTGTTGTAATTTTTAATAAGTCGCTGTAACATTTTTGGTTCATTATCACAATGTTAACCTGATTGGATTTTAGGATCCCAGATGTGGAGACCTTTCTTCATTTATGGCGATTAATCGTGTATTATTCTCTTTTGCTGATGTTCCTGGAGAGTTACATGTGTTGATTAACATGCATTTCAATAAACAAGTTGATTTAGGTTACCATACGATTTATAGCACATACCATTTGTGTTCAGATCTACATTCCTAATACATAGCCTTACCATCTAGACTAGTGATGCCAGTATAAACTATTGCTGGATGAGGACTGTATAAAGTTATGGTAAAAATAGATCACTAATTTGATTAGGATTCCTGGGGTCAGAATGCTAAATAAATAAAGACTTTTGCTGTTCGGTTGACAAGAACAGTTGAGTCAAATTAGGATTTATTTCATTGCAGAATTGAATGCAGACGATCTCTAGCTGGGCAGATGGGCAGCAGAGTTTACCCCACCGAGGTTTAAGCCCAGCATCACCGCATTACCTAGTTGCAACAGTATAGTAGATTCCATAATATGCTTTGTGTCACTCCCTTGTTTTGTGTCATTTCTTTATTCGGTGGTAATCGCCTTCTTATTTTAGAAAATTACTTACCATTGTAATAGAGGTCATGACTGTAGTATTGTAGATACTGGCTTGATAGCCAATCCTTTGCGATTTCCTCCTGTTGTTTCTGTCATATATGGAGGCATTTTCTCAAATTGAAACACTTTTTCTTTTGATTTTTCCAATATTATTAAACATCCCCGTCTGCTAATATAAGTGGCCTAGATTTCAAAATATCATGCATAGAATGACCTACCAACTTTGTCAAATATAGATAGTACAAGAAACTGGATTGGGAGACAGAGTGGAAAAATCAGTGTTCATGTGCTTAAAAGATGTTGACTTATAAATTTTTCATGTGGCACTGTTGGCAAGTCTATTTAAATGCAGTCTTGGCTTAACATTATGTATGTAGATGGCTTGTGAGTTGTATGTGAAAATCAATACAGAATGACGATAGGATTTACTTAAGCCATTGTAGTTTTTGTTAATTGATTATTGCTGCAAATGTAATTTACTAGACTTGGTTGCATACATTCAGAGAAAACGCGGTATTTGGGGGAAAAGATAAACATGATTTTGTTGTTTGTGGGACATTATCTCCCAAGTTTTACTCTACACCTGGATGTTCAGCCATAATTGGGGGAAGGGCCAAAACAATTGTAAATTTGTAGTTCGTCATACTATGCAACTGGAAATAAATTTGAAATCTCTGGCATAAAAAAGTCCAGAGTTTAGTGGGGAGTTTATACACCAACGATTCTTGTACATGAAGTAGTAAGAGAAACTGAATGAGGGGTAATCTAGGATTCAGGCGAAGTGATTAGGAGTTGTACTTTGAATTAAAAGTAAGGAATCCAGAAACTCTTTGTCATCTGTTTACATGGGGTTGCTTCTTGCCTCTCTTCATAACTTTTTGGCTTGTAGTCGAATGGGTAAAGTTCTTGATATTGTCACTCATGTTCCTGAAGCAGGTGATGCTGATAAAGGCATTTTCAACTGCTCGGGATGTACTTAAGGAGGAGTTGCTAAACCTTGGGAAGGCTATAAACGAAGCAGTCGAGATCGAGAATCTTACTTCTTCCTCAGATCAGGAAGATGTGGGTGTTCTGCAACAATTGTCAAGCGATACAAATGATTTGTTTGAGGTCCACCTTTGGTTTTACTGTCTGATAGGAGTTATCTTTCTATTGCTGACCACCTTGATGAATCTTGTTGGTGATTTACTATAGGGCTTTTTATGTTGTCTTACAGAAATCAGACAGTAACTCTCAAAATGATGGAACTGTATCTAAGGATGAATTATTCTCTCTATTCCACTCACTTGGAAATCAAACAAATGACTTGTGGAGTATGTTTCTCAAGTTTCACAGGTTTGTTGTCTGTTCATGAAACTGAAAATCGTATATGTTGGGCAACTTTTTCATTAATAGCCGAACCTACTTTTCTTATATTGAAACCAGCAGTTTGTTCCTAAATCTGCTTATAGTTAAGATTTTTACATGCAGTATTGTGGCATAATTCTTAACTTTCAACACCATAACTAGTCAAAACAGTTAATGTTGGAGTTTATTTCAAGGCAGAAAACCTTGACAAACACTACTTAGTGCTGTCAACATTAAGAGTATATGTATTTTTAATTTTTACGGATATTTGTATCTGTTTTATTTGTATGCTGAAGATGCACATATGCTGGGCGTATGTAAACATTTTTTGTTAAGAACTGAAAAGTTTCAGTGATTTTGGGAAAACAACAGTGTTCTTCCTCTCAGCAAATAGATTCCTTCTTTCACTGGCAGTAGCGACCTTCTTAGTTTGGCACCCAAAAAAAAAAAAAAAAAGAAACTTGGTTGGGTTACCATATCGCTATAGATAAAGTAAAGCACATTCATGATTTTTAACTACTGTGATTTTCCCTCAATTATGGTGATAGTTTCTTTCAAATGTAGATCAATTATTTTCAATATGAGTTAATACTTCTTTATTTTCCACAAGTTCTGGGGCATATTAAGCCTCTCAGTGCACATCTAAACTAGCTTAAGCGTGTTTCTGTAAATTTATTTGCCCAGCTCTTTCTTATTCATGCGCTCTTGAGGTGTTTATCTAGTCCAGTGTGTGTCTGCGTATCTTGTCTCAACTTTCTCATTCCTGTTATCCTTTTTTATCGAGGACTGTGTTCAAGCAGCTCGATCTTGTAGATAAAAATTTGTTTGGGAAGGAATTTCCAAGTTTTATAAGCAGAATTGTGTTTTATTGGATGCCAAAAGCTTGTTTGAACTATGGGTTTCCATCATTTGTTTGTGTTGACTTGTAGAATGGAACTATAATTATATTCGTGAAAATCCACTGCATGTTGGCGCCCCATAGCAACATGTGGCAAACTTTTTACATGGCTAGACATGAGCTATTATAATCTAAATTAAAATTTAGAATTGTTGATTATTTGAATTCTCCCCTTCCGAAGGTAAACTTTCTGCAATTAAGAAAAGATGTTATGATCAAGAAAAGAAAATAAAAAGCTTCAACCATTGCTGAGTTAAACCTGCTATAACATTTTGTTTGGAATTCAAATATCCTTTTAGGAATCCTAAAATCATCTTGCTCTATGAGTTTAAACCTTTATTTGTATAAGATAAATTAAGATCATTGATAATATTAGGATGCTTCATGGCTGATTATTCAGTTATCCATGTTCAAACAATCATCCATGCTACGTGAAAGTTCAATTATCCATGTTCTCTGTTACCTTAGTCACACTTTTAGGACGAGCAACTGAGGTCGTCTGTGTCATTGTCAAGGTTTCAGCATTCTGTGAATATAAGAACAATCCAATTATAAACATACTCCCAAGTTGGAGATGTCAATGATAACTAACTGTGTTCATGTTCAGTTGGCTTACGGTTGTCAACAGGTATCCTTTACTTTAGAAATCTAATAATTCTATTGCTCTCAAGTTTTGATGTTGTGCTTTTAAATATAGTGATAATGACGAGGAGCATTTGGGACATGTTACTTGATACCATATCTGTAAACCTTTTCATGATAAGTATAAGTTGAATAATTGGTGCTATCAGGTTAGGTGTAGTCTTTGATAAGTTTCTGCTCACCTTATGTTCTGATGCTTTTTTTTGCTTCTGAACAGGGCTAATAAATCAAAGATTCTTGAATATTTAAGAGATCAATGGGCTATTGATCGCAGAGCTGAATGGTCAATATGGATGGTGTATTCTAAGGTCGAGATGCCCCACCAATACATAAGTAGTGCTGTTGATGATTCCACCTATCATGCAAATCGCGGAAGAGCACCCGTGTTACGGAAAATAACTGAGGATGTAATAACTTTAGACTTTGCTTTATATTTCTTTTGGGCAAGATTAATTTCCTTCCATTATCTGTTGCTCCTATAGTTCATTTTTCTCAATTGCAGGAATTTTTGCTTGTACTTCTTGCACTTTCATTAATTTGTAACTTTAATTGTTCTTCGGTGCAGCCTGCCCAAACTGCAGCCATGCGTGCAGAGCTTCATAGACGGAGTATTGCCCAAATGAAGGTGAGTTGCTCATTTAAAATGGATAATGTGTTATAACTGTTTGATGTTATTCATATGAACAGCTGAAAAAGTACTGTTTGCAGATCAATAACAGGTCCATTCAAGACATGCATATATTTGGAGATCCAGCAAGGATCCCCATCATAATTATAGAGCGTGCTGTGAATGCACCTCTGCGTTCAACAAGTGGAAATTCATACTTCAGTCGTATGGATCCAAAGAACAAATTGAGCCCACTTTCTGAAGTTGGATCCAGAGGCCCAGAGAAATTATCTGTTGCTGGCACTCGGCAAAGTGGTCGTGTGCTCAAGATTGTTGTCTTCGTTCATGGTTTCCAGGCATGATTCTTCTCTTTTGCCATGCGATAGATTTATTTTCTTGTGTACTCTGATGACTTAGGGTTCAAAAGTTTCAGTACATCACAAAGTTGTTCAATATTTAATAAGTTACTTGATACTGGGAAAAGAAGCTGAGTTGCTTTGCCAGGGAAAGAGGGGTTGGGGAGGCTGGTATATTTAGGTTGACAAATTTAAAATTCAAAAGGAAAATAGAAGTTATTCTTGATGTTTATTTACCATTTCTTGTGTTCATCCTTTTGTGATTGGTTTGCTTTCAATTCATGCCATATTACTGTACTCGTGCGCCTGAAAGACAACTATTATTGAATTGAAATTCCCAAGAAAAATGAAAAATTATTATGCATGTATTGTTACTTCCTGCCTCACATGAGAATCAAATTGACGAGATATAACATATATCAAAATCTTTATCCATCTATTGTGCTGTGCTCATTTCTCTTTTTTACTAATTACTAGGCAGAATGAACACAAGGGAATGAACCATACTGATGGGAATTGACTGATACAGTTGAAAGTTAATGAGAGAGACAAACCCTAGCTGTAAGAATTTACGAAAGACGGAACCTTTCAAAGCTTAAAGCTTAAAATTTATAATAATCAACGATGGAAATAACAGAGCTATAGAACTCCTTTTATAGAACTATCTGGCTTATTCCTTGAAGGATTACTAACATTATACTAGGGGTGAAACCAACTTTATATAACACAGTAAAATTAAATAGAAACGAAACTAAATCCTAAGAAGGTTCTAGTTATTTCCCAAAATCTAATTTAAAGCTATTTTTTGAACATACCTCGTGTTGAAGAGACATCTGAGTTTCTCCATTTGATGAGACATCTTTAATTCCTTTGAAGCCTTAAGAATAACTTTAACTTGGCCTTTCTTCTATGATGTTTGTTTCAGCTTTTAACAATGTGAAATAATCACCATTGTTCTCTGTTATAATACATCATTTTTTAAGAAAAAAAGATAGAGAAAATGCAGAGTGAAACGGGATAGTGATTGATGCGACATGGATGGCATTTATAAGTAGTGTGATTTTTGATTTTCTCCTTCCACCCGTCACTGTTTCATTCCACTTGTATTTTCACTACTTTTTTTTTTTCAAATCCTTAGGATTACCGTATTATTTGTTGCACTGTAAATGGGGCAACCAAGTTTCAAATGGAACTTGTTAGCATTATACCTTCGAGTGGTAGCAGGTCAAGAATGTTGTAGAAGATGACTTCTGGACCTAACAAGTCATGGTCAGAAGATCATTGGCAGTCAAGAATAGTTACTTTAAGGAAAATGACATAATTGAAAAGAGGGTTGCGATTTGGCAATTTCTTTTCTTGGGGATATAAAAAAGTGGAAGATGACGCTGAGACTTGGATAAAGAAAGTCCTCAAATTTGTGCAATTATTTCCCTAAATTTCTTCTTTTGCCCCGGGCATTTTGCATCTTATCGTATTCAAATTTCAATGAATCAACTGCTCATATTGCATGTGAGTTAGATTTTTAGTTGGCTTCTCTATATCCGCGAATGTGGTTTAAAGACAAGTCATAGGATGGCTTATTATTTGTAGATGCTAAAGAGTTCCCTAGGTGACTTTGCTGCAGTTAATGTTTTGAAAGTATCTGCTTCTGCTGAAAGTGTCTCAGAAAGTATCAAAGGGATTGGCTTGGTTAAGGTTTAGATTTGATTAAGACGGGTTGTATCAGCCAAATATTCTTTTACCGTTCTCTCAAGATGTAGCTTTAGAAAATTCAATATCTATGCTGCAGGCCTTCTTTGCACTACAGTTGGTGCGAATGATTTCTTCCACAATTAAGTCGTTCTTAAGTGGATTCTAACTTTATGCTGCAAAAGTCTTGTCTATGTTGGCAACTTGTTTGTGAATTTCATAGTGGCTGTGATTCTTAACTTTACTTACTGTTGTGACCCGAAGATGTTCTTTGTTCTTGGTATTCAACACAGCTCACTTATCTTTTCACTAACTTCACCCCATCATGCTTGTGAAATAGTTGGTGGATGGCGGAAACTAAGAGTGGGATATTGTGTGCAACATAGTTCATCTTGTAGCTTTCCCCTTACTGTTGAGCTCATGTTCTATTACCTGGACAATGTGCAGGGGCATCATTTGGACCTGCGACTTGTTCGAAACCAGTGGCTTTTGATTGATCCCAAGGTAGAATTTCTAATGTCAGAAGCCAACGAAGAAAAGACATCTGGAGATTTCAGGGAAATGGGACAAAGACTAGCACAAGAAGTAGTTGCATTTGTCAAGAAGAAAATGGATAAAGTTTCTAGATCCGGAGGCTTACGAAGTATTAAACTAAGCTTTGTTGGACACTCAATTGGGAACATCATTTTACGAACCGCATTGGCAGGTAGGCAGACTCTACTAAAGAATGAATAACAAAAAACTTGGAAGGTTGCTGACTTAGTGTTCTATACATTTTGCAGAGAGCATTATGGAACCATACCTCAGATTCCTGTATACCTACGTCTCAGTTTCTGGTCCACATCTAGGTTATTTATATAGTTCAAACTCATTGTTCAATTCTGGACTCTGGCTCCTGAAGAAACTTAAGGGGACACAGTGTATTCATCAGCTTACTTTCACTGATGATCCAGATATCCAAAATACTTTTCTTTATAAACTTTGCAAGGTACATAGCAGCATGCTGAAATTGTCTGTTTCAAACTGGACTAGATTTTCTCTGAGCTTTGTTTCTTTATTGTTATCAAACACCATAACTGTTTGTTATTTGAGGCTTGTCTGATGTGCTTTCTCTGTTCCTTGTGTAACTTTTATCTCAGCAAAAGACATTGGAAAATTTCAGAAACATCGTCTTGTTATCTTCACCACAGGTTTGTCTTCATCCTTGTATGTAATCTACTCCAGTTCTAAGATCTCATTGGGAATTCATCTGAGGTTCATAATTCTATTCCAGCTTTGGTTTCAGAAAACTGATAGGTTTCCGGATTTAGTAGTTTACAGAAATCTGAGTGCCCGTAGTATGAAACTTTTAATCATATATTAGAAATCTATAATGGTACGCAAAGAATTCATATCAACTCTCACCACTAATATGTTGTACTTTCACTATGTTATGCTCTGGATGTGGAGTCACACACAATTGTCCTACAACTTCTGATTGAATGTGTAGTCAGATGAGCTTAGACACATCTTTATATGATCAATCTGATATGCATTGAAGAAAATTCATTCATTTTGTCTATTTGAGAGAAGGGTACTTTCTAGTTCTTAAAAGCGATCTTCAGCATATTGAGTCTTTCTCAAAATCATAATTTTGAGGACCATGCCAATACTATGTAGCCACAGAATGAATTAGAAGGCACTACCTATCTGTATAATTTGTACTTCTTTGTGCTTTTATTGAATTAGAAGGCACTACTGGGCTTTTGTCGTTTTAACTTTTCTTGGTTTTACACCATTTTCATCTGATGTCCATTTAAAAATCATTGCTTTTTAAGGTGTCATGTATTTTAAAATCATCCATGATGGTATATGTTAATATCATAACGTCATTCAGTATATGTGACTCGCTGAACTCACTAAACTTCTTGGGTTTGTTTGTTGGCCATCAACCAGAACATATCTGGTTTGGTTATTGATCATAGGAAGCATTCTTCTTTGAAAATAATTTGCTAGCTGAATCTTTACTTCTCAGGACGGTTATGTACCATATCATTCCGCTCGAATTGAAATGTGCCAAGCATCTTCTGGAGACAACTCAAAGAAGGGCAAAGCTTTCCTGGAGATGCTTAATGATTGTTTGGACCAGATACGAGCACCCTCCTCTGAGCCTAGGGTATTTATGCGTTGTGATGTGAATTTTGACTCTTCCTTGCAAGGGAGAAACCTAAACACAATAATTGGTCGGGCAGCTCACATAGAATTCCTTGAGTCTGACATATTTGCTAGATTCATTATGTGGTCATTTCCGGAACTGTTCCAATGATTGTTCCTTTAGTGTGCATCCATTGATTGAATCACAACATCCAGAATCATTTGTTGCTGTCTTACCCCTCCAATTTTCCTGTAAGAGGGAGGCTCTCCAATCTAGGGTTTTTGGATGTTGTAGCAAACCCTTTCTGTAGTGCATCCCGCTTCACTATCGACGTCCTATGAAGGCGCACAAAATCGTGATCTTTTGGTGCAAAAATGGGTCGATTCAGTCAAGTTTAGTTCCACTGTCGGTTGATCGTATCTTTTCCTCTAGTACAGGTAGTCTCAGCTTTTTTTCAGTTTATCAATACATATTGTAGGTTTTCAGTTTAGGTGCTACACAGGGGATTAGTTTCTTGTACACTCGAAGAATTAAATTAATTTGTGGCTTTGGTTGAGGATAGTTATGTTGTAAAGTGTAGTGTTGTGCAGCTGGGAAATTAGTGTTCTTATAGACTTGTACTTGAAGATGTTTAATAGTGGTTGAAGCTTCTTTTTTTACTTTTATTTTTTAAGCTGTGTAATTGATGTGCTAAAGAGCATACATTTGTTGATCAATTTCACAAGTTATGTATGCGGAGGAAAATTTTAACGGTATTGTTTCGATTTGAAAGGAAATGTTAGTAGATACTTTGAAATACACAAAAGATGGGGAAAACATCCAAATAGCTGATCATACTTGTGTGTGGAGGTTGGTTTTTTCTTTATCCCATTTAGTCTTGTAAAAAAAAAAAAAAAGCACTCGGGGTTGAATATAATTTACACTTACATATAATTGGGTACGGAATCTATGTGAATCACGGTGGATCCAGTATTGACTTAATGGTCCTGCAAGTTTCCCTTTCTCCTTATCGCCAGCACCGGCACCACCGGACTGCCGGCTGTGGTTCTCTAATTTGATCATGCTGAATTCATCATCGTCCATTGTAATTTACCTCCATCTTTGCAAACATATTTTATCCTTGTTTTTTTTGGCGGGAGTTCGGTAAAGTGTGACATTTATATACAGTATCACTAAATAATTACATTATAAATCAACAATTTATGTTTATGACAAAATATGATAAAGACATAACGTTAAATGAATTCCTCCAAATAAATATAATAAGATTGTCTACTTATATTATTTTAAAAATATATAATCAAAATAAAAACAAACATGATTCGCACGTTGTGCGGGGAACTGCTACTATGGCAAAAAAATGATACCTTTTTGTAAAAAATGGTAAATAATTTATTTTCTGGTTAAACGTAATCTAACGCACACAAAAACAGAAGCTTAGACTGGTTTACATCGGCTCCGCACTATCTACAAATTTTTAGTACTCCCTCCCACATGCTCATTTCACTTGTGTTCGCAACATCAAGATTCCATTGGCCTGAATAGGACGGTACAAAAGCGAGCACTTTGAAGAGGTCACTATTGCAAGTAATTTCTATTTTTTTAAAAAAATCACTTTATTTCAACATGGATTCTTATTAGAAGGCATCTTAATTTGTCTTAAATTTCAGTCAATATTCTAAAAATAAAACCTTAAAATTTTTTTACATTTATTATTGTGTTCTCCTAATTATGAAACAATTTTAAGATTTTATCTTCAATTGGAAAATCATACCAAAAGAAATTCAGGACAATCAAGAGGCTGGGAAGAAGTACAAGATGGAAGGTTAAAGCTTAATACAGCCATACACTATCAACCAAAAGACTACATACGGGCTCTTTAGTAGTCTTAGTATATCTCCTACTGCAATAAATATTGTAAATGGCACTAATAATTGCAAACAATTCCAGGTATCTCCAATCCATGGGAGACTTAAGGGGATTTGACTGGAAAATTACCATCAATCTGGTAGTTGGCTTGGTGTTCTCTAATGTATATAAACAAGAGCTTGGTGTTCTCTGATGTAGTTCCCTTGAAACAGATGCAACCGGTTATGGGAACCAATCAACAGCGGCAAGAACGCACAAATGAAAGTATGCAACAAATCAAACAAAGCTGTCAAAACGGGTGCAAAAACAACACTTATAGGGGTGAAACAACTATAAAATATGCATCTGAAATGCAAACATATAAAAATCCAAAATTTAAACCAAAAAGATAAGCTAGTATCCGCAACACCTATTTGAATTAGTCTAACACCAGTTCTACATAATGACTTTCAGGCACAAAAAAAGTCGGAGAACTCTTAAGCAGTAGTGGCTGATTGAGCAGCCAGCCTCTTCTTCTGCTCCTCAATGACAGACAGCTTGATACCCTTACCCTTGGGAAGGGACACCCAAGGCTTACTACCCTTGCCGATGGTGAACACATTGCCCAGACGAGTAGCAAATTCATGACCGGTGGCATCTTGGACATGGATGGTCTCAAAGCTGCCCTTATGCTTCTCTCTGTTCTTGATCACACCAACCCGGCCTCTGTTTCTTCCTCCAGTAACCATGACAACATTGCCAACATCGAACTTGATGAAGTCGGTGATTTTATTGGTCTCCAAATCAAGTTTGATGGTGTCATTAGCTTTGATGAGGGGATCTGGGTAACGAATAGTACGGCCATCATAAGTATTCAGGTAAGGGATGCCTTTCTGTCCAAACTGGACAGACCTGACCTTGCACAACTTGAACTGCAGCAAAAAGAGAAAATAATAAGATGGAGCATAAAATGAGTACAGAAATCCCTTGTATGCACAAATATAATAACAAACAAGCTACTGAAAATAAACAAAAGAAACCAGGAAATATACAAGAGAAACCAGGTACTGATATAAAGACCATTTAAATATGAGCAAGCAAATAAACTGAAAACCAATTCTTTTAGCCAATCCAAAGCAAACTTTGCAAAGAATGGGAAAACCCGGACCTTTGCTTCCTCATCCCGAAGAGAGTGAAGACGGAAACGGCCTTTTGTATCATACAACAGGCGGAAGTTTTCGCCAGTCTTGGGGATGGATATAACATCTAACAAACAGAAAGAGCACATCAGAAATGACAACATTGTAGTATCAAAAAAAAATTTATAGATAAAGTATATCTGAACCTCAAGTTTTTGGTTCCTGCTGCAGACAGTGATCCACTAAACAGGTAGAACAGAACACAAACTATGTAAAAAGCAAAAAATGCTCACCCATAAAGCCAGACGGATAGGTTTTGTCAGTCCTAACTTTCCCATCAACAAGAACATGACGTTGCATTAATATAGCAATGACCTCACGGTATGTGAGGGCATACTTCAGCCTGTTCCTGAGAATAAGAAGCAGGGGAAAGCTTTCTCTGGATTTGTGAGGTCCAGATGATGGCTTAGGTGCCTGCATGCATCATATATGCATAGGATCATTTTTTCCAATATTATAAAACAGAAAATATCCACGTATACAGTTCCCATAAATACCAGAAAACAAGAAAATGCAGGTTAAAAGAGAAACTTACAAAAGCGCCACCAAGCTTGTCAAGCATCCAATGCTTGGGTGCATTGAGCCTCTTCAAGTGTTTCTTCAAGCCACGAGCCTGCAACCCCAACAACACAGAATACAAGTAGCTATCGTTAATAAGTGATTATTATAGTGGCAAAGAACATTAAATAAGTCACTCCATCCTGCAACTATGGCAAATACAGAAACATCTACAATCCAGCACAAGGTAAACAGGCAAGCATCTAAGGAAAACCCCGGATGATGCAGCAACCCTATTGATTTACTTGCAGAACCAAAAATGACACAACAAATAACAAATGTCTAGTGACAAAAAGCTTTCATATAATAAAAACCACAAACAAGTGACTACGTACTATAGACAAATAGTCACAAGCAACCTGCGATATCTAATCCCCACAAAATCCATCAAGCCACAAGAACAGCAGAAAATACGATTCCCAGTTAATAAAATCATGACATGAATTTCAAGAGAAAAAAGGGAAGCCAAAAAACAACATTGCAATATCTTTTTCCTAGACAGCCTATTAGTCTCCAAACAATTAATTTTACCAACTTGGTAGATGAACAACGAGACAATTAGAGGTTTCCAGACCGAGTCTTCAAGTAATTGTTCAATTATCAACAAATTCAGAACTTCCAAACCGGAAAAGATAAGTATAACTCATCAATACGAATAAAACTATAGATTTCAAGAACGGGTATGGTGTATCAAAGAAAGCCCATCATCCCCAAAGACATATAGACACACTAGAGCCCTAGATTCATCAAGGGAAACCCAGAAAATACAAGCTCTAACGCTAAACCCTTTTCGACCACAAAGCTTGAAAAAACATCTACGGAAAACTAAGTGGGCCAGATTCAGCGGACATGAGGAACCCAGAAGATGAAGAGTTCTCACCATTGTCGATAGACTAGATTGCTCTCTCTGAGCTAAGCTGTGCTTCCCCTTTGCGCTGCAGCTTTGCCGCCGACGGACGTTTCTGAAAATGAAGAGCAATGTGAAGCCCTAGCTCTTCTCTATTTATACTCTCCCACCTGTGAGGGTTGATTAGAAAGCTCTGAGAATTCCGAAATGTCTTATTAGCCCTTTATGTTTTTAGTCTGTAGTCTGCACACCCTCAACATTTAAATGTGAAACTCCGACCCCGAATAAATAAATAATAAATAAAGAGCTTTAAAAATGCTTAATTGTGAGCTTTAGAAATGAGTAATTATAAATTAAAAAAAAATTCTCCTATCTCTATCTCTATATATAATATTAGGGAAAATTTTGATTAACGGCATTAGAAAGATGAAAATTATTATAAAGGGAATGAAATATATTACAGTAAAACCTCCATAAATTAATACACCTAGGCCCCCAAAAATTTATTAATTTATAGAGTTGTTAATTTATTGATAATATTTTATTAATTTAATGAGTTTTTTAAATCCTATAAGTAAGAAAATTTTAACATTTTTTATATAAAAAAAAGTCTGTTTCAGTCCTATCCATAACATTATAAATGTTTTAATGTAACAAAAACATGATAATTGCAAACATAAACAAAAATATTTCCTTAAAATCAGTAACATCACATCTTCTCCCTTCCTTCTTCCTTAGTCCCCAAAGTTTGCTTGAATTTCTTCTTCCGGCAGCAGATGCAACTGCCGGATTGCCTTCACCATCAGATTTGCACCATTAGTCCAATTGTCTATTTTCAATTTTCCCCCGGACTTCGCCATTTTGCACCCTTTTGCGCACCTTTTTCCAGATTTTGCAATTGAGTTCCTTGATCACCAAAAGCCGCAAAATTTATATTAGAAATATATAATTCCTACTGAATTAACTTAAAACATAAGTAGAAAGATGCAAATAAAGTATGTTAAGGAGGTGCATGGTTCAAACCAGGGTATGTTAGATTTCAATAGGTTTCATAACTTGAAGTGAGATTCATAGAATAGAGGGTATCAAAACTTCATTTTTGGTGCTTGGTTAACATGTGTACAGTAATTAGAATTAACGAAAAATTCCAATTTTAACCCTGTCTTCTATCCCTAAACTTTTTTGCTTGCTCTACTCCTTATTGCCGCGCCGTTGTTACCCGTGTTTCCCCCACCACCATGTCAAGGCAATAACTGGAGAAACAACCAAACTTAAATCCAAAATTGATCCAAAATTCAAAGAATCTATGCTCCAAAATTCAATTTATTATTCTAATTTGTCATTCAATTTCAAGGCAACATCGATAAACAACTTCAAACTCATATGAAATCTAATTAAAATTGATGAACAAACCGCCGCCGCAACAACCAATGAAGCATACATATCGTTTTTCCACCATCTACCACCAACGACTGTCGATCAATTTTATTTCTTCAAGTAAATAGCTAACCACATAAAAAATCACCGATTCATCGATTGGATACGAACGGAATCTTATCCTTATCTCCAAGGATTGACAATTTGACAACAACCTACAGTTTCCACCGTCTTTGCTTCCACACACCTCACCTCCGCCGCATCTGAACCTCCATAGACTTCAACCCATAAGAGGTCAAAAAGAAATCCAAAATCGAGCCAAATTCCGCATCATTTGAACCTCCATAGACTTCAACCACAAGAGGTCCAACAGTCCAACAAAAATTCCAAAATCGAGCCATAATTTGGTCATCAGTTGCTAAATCTACTCATTTGATTTTTGGTTTTTTATCATCTTTTCACAAAAATCAAAGAGTGATCAAGTATCCAACATTCAAAACTCAACTCTCAAAAACAAAAAGCAAATTCAATTTTAATGGACTAAACAGATCTGAACTAATCTAACTAATGCTTTAATGGTAGGCAAAATTGTGGCAGCAGAGGTGGAGGTGGCGGCTGCACGAGGAAGAGAAGAGTGGGGAGAGCAACAATGGTGGTGATGAGATATGAACAAAAATGATGGTGGGTTTTACATTGTATAATAAAAAAGGGTAGAAAAGAAAATTTGTTACCTATCTATCATACCTCTCAAATTGGGGTGGAATGCAAAATTGGGATTCGAATCTCATTTGATGGTTTCAAACCCTCAAACCAAGCATGATGAATGGAAAACTTTGGAATGAAAACCCACACTTTAGATATGATACCCTCATACCAAGCACCCCCTAAAACATGTATAAGTTGACTCCCATCATATTTGATATGATAAACATATACAAAGCGTTTAATATAATACTACTTAATAAACTCAAATAATATCTACTCCATCTCGAAATGATAGTCATGTTTGGATTTTCATTTTTAGTTAAAAAAATGTGCTAAAAGTTAAAAATTAAAATGGACAATCATTTGGAACATGTGAAGTATGAAATAATAAAAGGTTTCAAATGTGTTTGTTTATAGTAGATGTAATTTATTATAAAAATGTTAATTTATTGTTAAATGTACTTTATCACACTAATAGCTAGTGGTAAGCAGGATCGTTCCACAAAGACGGCAGTCAACCGCTCAAGATCTGATTAAAGTGCAGAAAAGAAAGAAAATGAATTGAACAGATTGTCACTTGGGAGAGTGAGAGTAGTCACTTGACAGAATGAAGAGACAGAAGGGTCAATCATCTTTCTATCTTTATGATCCAGTTTTGATTCAAATATTCATGTAGTGTATGATTAGTTGTTCGATCAGGCACGTATATTCTTTATAATTCCTTCCAGACAGAATAAGGAGTCCTAGATTATATAAATCACCTATCTTCCAGTCAGAGTAATTCATTAATCTGAGTCATTGAGTTCTTAAGCCCTCTTTGATCGCCTATGCCATCCACCTAACTTCTGTTGATGTTTGGAACCACATGGTAGATTTTCTCCATTGTCATATACTAGATTAAGCAGTTCTAGATCTTCATAACCATGCAAGCACATTTAGTTCAGTAGCCAAATTAATTAAAAGGTTAATTAAATCACTTATCTAGGCACAACACCTCATCAAGGAAACTGAATCAAAACTTTCACATAAAGATAGTAGGGATTGAACCCTCAACTGAGTTAGCTGCTCATGTTTATTGAGTTAAACATGAGAGCAACAGAGTACAAAGATAAGACATGAATCTAGATAAAAGGTTAGGGGAAAGAAAGGGAAGATGGTAGCAGGGACAGTTTCTGTTTGCTCACTATGGCGAGTGGCGTTCGCCACTTAAAAAAGTGACAGTATGCCTCCTTGTTCCTACTACTACCTGTTTCTAACCTTCTAGCTCACTACCTAACTATTGTCTTTTGGAATAAATCTAACTACCCAATCTATTTTTTTCAAATTGCTATTAGCTAACTATTTATAGAGATTTGGAGAAGTTTGGATTGGTTGAATTCTGGCCTTCTTCTCTGCAGCAAAAAGGTGAGGCAGCAACTTTTAGCAGTAGAAATTTATTTATTCAGCAACTTGCCTAGTTGGCAAGGCAAGTTGCAGTCTTCTCTTTGGCTGCTCTTTCTCTTCAGCTGCAAATCAACCACCTTCCTCTTATCATTGCTTTCTTCTCTTAGTCTTCTTCTCCGGCGCAGTTTCTCCAATTGCCAGCCACAAATCTCTATTATTCTTTTATCTGCAGCAGCTCAACTAGCAGTAGTAACAAGCAGCAGCATGCTTCTTTTCATCTTTGTGTTTTAGCCCCTAATTCAGCCCAAATCTGTCTGCCTTTTCCTTCTTTGTCTCCTATGACGACTTGCAACACCATTTCTCACCTGACTACAGCAGCCAACCCATCAATTCAGCAACAACAGTCACAGCAGGTAAGTAGCAGGTTTGTAGCTGCTGTTTTCCACATATTCTCCCTCTATCTCTTCTTCAACTTGCAGCAGCTATAACTTGCAATGATGGCGAAGCAATTCCTTCCTTAGACATTAAGAATTCAGCCTTGGCTCTTCGTGATTGATAGCAGCAACAGCATCTGTAACATCAACTTGGCAGCATAGTAGCTGCCAGTTCTTCTTCCTCTATTGAGGTGTTTGCTGCAGATTCTTCCACTTGAGTCCATCTGCTATCAATCTTCCTTCCACAACAACGATTTCTCCACTTGCTTCAGCTCTGATCGATCTTCCAACAGCTTATTTTCCGACAGCTTCCATTCCAGTCCATTTAGATGCTTTTTTGTGCAATTTCGACCCTCATTTATGCTGATTTTCTACATTGGCCCTCTGAGATTCCTGAACTGCAAAATCACCCCAAAAGTAAACTAATCCTAACTAATTGACACTAAATTATAAGTAGAAATGAGTAAGAAATTCCTGCTAAAAGGGTATATATTTTAATGTTATCAATTAGTCATTAAATCGATGCTATGTAGTTGTTTAATTGTGTAGTTTATATGGTTTGGAAGATTGAAGATTGATAGTGTTTTAGGGTTGATGGTTATGATTATGTTGAACTATAAATGTAATGTGTATATTGTAGATATTGTTGTTGCGTTTATAGGTGAGAATTGTTGTTATTTTCACAGTTGATTGAGGTTAACTTAATGAAATTTGGTGGATTTTCTTTGGATGAAAGATTGACAGGGTTTAATGTTTATGATTTTGATTTTGTATAGATGTAGTTGTTGACTTTTGTAGTTCTATGTGATTATTTAATGTTGATCATGTTATTTCATGACGTGTGGAATACTAGTTTAGGGGTGTAATGTAAGATTATGCAATGATATCGAGTATTATAGTTGACAATTGTCCCCCCCCCTCAATAAACAGTTAAAATATCAGTTCATGGGCCAAACATACTAAATTGTTTCATACAAGTAAGTATGTGATAGAGAATGGTGTAGTGAACACATTTGAGAACAAGTCGGACGACACTCTTTTTATTGATAGTAGGTTGTCATATGACGATTTACTTGGTATGATTTGTTTGACGCTCGGTTGGGATCTTGAAATAGCTAGGAAACTCCACATTTTATTAATTTTTGAGACTGACGGTGTTAGGCGCGCCATGAAGATAAAGAATGATTCACATGTTGGGATCATCTACCACCTCGAGCCGATGACAAGGGTGGATTTGTACATAGACACGGAGGATATCACTAACCAAGAAGATGTGAACAATCATTGTGGCGTTCCAACTCGGGAACGGGGTTGTTGTTCCCAAATTTATGAAGAAGATGGGACGAGTAGCTTTGTGAACAGCATGCAAGGTGGTGGTCCAAGGCAAGAACGAACAAGTATTTCGCGGGTTTATGAAGAAGATGGTGCAAGTTTCTTTGCACAAGATGATCACATGGATGAAGATGACTCCGTCTATGTAGCTCTAAGCGAAAGCTCGGAAGCACGCGATCCGTTTTTGGATAGTGATGATGAGGAAAGTGATGATGAAGAATTGGTGAATGAAGAAAGGGAACTAAATCCATTTCCCCGGTGTCATGTGTATAAAAAAAACGGATGAATGGCATTCCTTTTGTGTTGACAAGGATGATCTTGATATAACAATATGGGTCGAGACCTGATAATGGTTAAATTGTTACATAAAAGTATCACACTTAACTTTGTATTTGATGAACAATTGGGGGTATTTCCTAACATTGGTGCAATTTACTTAGCTCATTTTCATGTTATTGTTAGGAAAGGACCGGACTGAATAATTGCTGAAAATTAGAAGCCAAAAGAGCAATTTAAGGACTGTTGAGGCAAGGGTGCTGAGCTGGACGAAGAAGAAGGCCCTTAGACAAGAAGCATCTTGTCATTAATGACTATGTCTCCTCCTAAAGGCATGCTTGTCCCCCAGCCGCAATCCCAGCCACCGCTGCTGATCAATGAGAGCAAAACGGCACGCTGGAAGAGAGAAAAGGAACGGCCAAGTTGGATTGCGAGCTCAAGACATTGGGAGGATTAAACAACTCCAAGCATGGAGAGGTTCTCATGATGAAGACACCGCTGCAAGGCCCTATAAGAGGGGAACCGCACTCTCAAAGGACATCTCTCGCCTCTCGGTTAGCTTCTCGCTAAAAAGACATTCGAAAAACTCCGTAGACGACAAGAAAGAAGAAGAAGCAGCAACAACTCGGTGAGGAAGCCAAGTTGAAGAATAGTAACCCAGCTTTCTTCTTCGCCCACGAGTGAACCCCTTCACTCCCAGGAGTGACTCGAAACCGCATGCTTTCTCCTCATCTCTTGACTGTTAGCTTAAAGTTTGTTTACTATGCATACTTCTATGATGTCTTTCGATGTAGTAGATGTAGCATTAATCTGTATGAGTAGCTAAACAGTTCCTAGGGGTTATTCTCCTCAACTGATGTTGTAGTTGTCAAAGCACTGGTTTTGTTCCTTGTTTTATGGTTGAAAGCTTTTCTACATTCATTTACTTGATCACTAAATTGAATACATGCTAGAACTAAGGGAAATCTGGAAGGATAAACTTGGTTTGGATTGTTTCAACTTTAACTTATGACATAGAGGTAACAGTCTATGGTTTTAACTAAGATAGGAATATACTTAGTTAACATAAGCATTCTTGAAGGCCTAAGAACTTAATGACTTTGTAGCTGGAATCAATCATTGGAAAATAGGTTGTTAAAGTTGCAAGGATGACTCTAGGAAAAATGGGAACTGACTTAGAGTTATAAGTGAGCTGAATGAACAAAAACTCAACCATTACTGTGCTAATAAAACAACTACAACAGCAGGAAGAGGAGAAGAACACCCCTGAC